TGTGGTAATGCCACAGGACTACTCTACACACCCGCGACCACAGCCACAACAATAAAACCTCACTGAATGCACTCGCCCCACCCACCTTCTTGGAGCTCTCCATCACGCATACACCACGGCACATTCTAACCCACCCGCCTACACGTTGCACTGTTTCCCCTCCCACCTTCAGGTGCATTATCACGCACCACAACCCTCAGTGCCTTCCTCACTCCCACTACTCACTCCAACTCACTGATACTAATGCTAACTCCGATTTTGATGCACCCAACTGAGCGTCAATCCAACTGCTCTCACTTAAATGTGGCATATTCACGCTCCTCACCTCTACTCCCCATCGAGGAATGCTGCCAAATGAATGTAAATGACCCACTGTTGGTGTGCATGTTTGTACAGGATGCCTCATGGAATACACGGGTGAGCTGGTCGCGCAACTCAACCACCAACTTTGAGGAATGCTCTCCTTTCACATCCTCATGCTCCACACCTTCCTATTATACGTGCTGTGGCACGTACTGTGTGGAATCGCGGCACCTGCAGACACAGAACACACATTTCAGCCTCAATCCATGTGCAGCCCGTCACGAAAGGCAGCATGTGCGCGCCTCCTCCATGAGCAGCACAAGTTTTGGCCAGTGTCCACCTGTTTCGCCTACACCAAACCGAGGAATGCTGAATGGTCTCACGGAGTGTCATGTCCACTTAGCATTGGAGTAGCGCGGCACCCACTCCTCCTCCTCCTCCCCCCTACATCACTCAGCACTACCTTCGCCCTCACATCTCCTCTCTCCCCTTTTGGACGTCTCAATAGCTAGCCTTCCTGTGCCCACCGCTATTCCCCATCATCGCCGCACAGGTTGATGGGCAAGCAGCTACAATGCGAAAAACGGAGGTTTGAAGAGGGACGACGTCCTTGCCATAGAATGTGTGTGAAGTGAGTAGTTGAGAGTGTTGGCTTGCAGAACCGAGTGGTGTTGCACGAAATTGCTGCACCGACTACTTTCGCTAGGAGTGAGCTTCGTAACGCAGAGAGTCGTCCATCGAACTGACGAACTGTGGCACAGGATGTGTACTAAGCGCGTGTGGTTTGACAACGCCGACCCCTCCTCTCCCCCAGTCGC